TTTCACTCAACCTAATGCTTTCAGGGTTCATTTATGTTATATAACAACTTCATTTCTCTTTAAGGCTAGATATTTCATTTTACATGTTATATATTATTAACCCATTCATATATTCATGGACTTTTATGTGGTTTCTACTTTAAAAAAAATCTATTGAATATTTGTCCTAGAGCTTACAATATAAATTTTAACATAATTAAGTCCATCTTTCAGATACACTATTTTGTGTGTACCAGAAGAATCTTGCAATAGTATTTTCACAATTACTTTATCCCATCTTTTGTCATTATTTATGTAGTTTACTTTTACATATGCTGTATAAGACTCAGTACATTCTTACTCTGAATATTCATTAAATTGTGTTTATTAGAAAATTTAAATGACATGTGGTTTTCATTATTTCTATTTAGTAGAGCTGCTCTACAATTCTGGCTATTAATTATCCTAACATCTAACTCTTATTGTCCATTTGTAAGCTCTTTTAATCGTTCTATTCATGACAGAATATTCCATTCTGAATTCTTTCGATTCTAAATCTAGAAGATGTTTCCCTTTTTCTTTCCTATACTCCAGGCTCAATTTCAGAGCATTGGAGGGAATAGAAGAGTAGGGACTGGAGTAAGCATAAAATTCTGCTAAACTTTCTTAAAACTTTATAAATAATTTTCTCTTCCTTCAACATTACTAACATATACTGTCTAAAGGTGTATTTCTCAAAGCATGGGCCAAAGGCATCAATTATTTAGAATTTGGGTCCTAGATGTACAGTGGCCTTTGTTGTCATTCTTTGAACTCACTCATGAATAAGCCTTATCTGGAAGGGAGAAATTTATAGTGATAGTCTCTAAGCTTACTATTTTGCTTTTTCTCCTCATGTAATATTTTCTAAACCGATTTGCAACACCTTTGCTTGTTCACTTGGTTTGCTCACATGATGTACCATCTAGTGGTAACAGAAGGTAACTTCAAGCTCTTTATTTCCTTTTTTAAAAAACAGTTTACCTCTGTGAGTCTTGTAAAAAGACTTTGAATGTTATCCTGTGGAAACTCACTGAAAAAAAGAAAATGATAAGTAAATTTTCATGTACATTTCAGTTGACAATTTTATATCATGATATGAGTATTATGTGTACTGTAAGGATGATATGTGTCATAATTTTCTTTAAATTATTAGAAAGCTTTATGTGACTTTTAGTTTCATAATATTGTTAATGCTTATGATTTACATCATGACATAGTAAAAACAGCTTAACAACAGAATGACTGTGTACAGTTTATGAGCCAGACTAGAGATTAGATTAATAGATTGATTCCTTGTCCTAGCTACATTAGAAATTGGCTTAGGACCTTAAAGATTCCCTAAGACTTGGACAGTAGTTATCAAACTTAATATGTATCAAAATCAGTTAAAGAGCTTTTCAAAATTTTGGTCCTATCATCTCATTATTCTGATTGAAGCCTGAGAGTTTACATTTTTAAAAAGAAATTATCAGGTAATTTTATGCCTGTTTCATTTTTACATTTTCATTCATATAAGTTCATCCTCCATTTCAAATGATTGAGTTAATAAGCCCCTAAGAAAGACTATATTGGGGAGCTCCTTTTCCAGAAAAGTATCGCATTATCTGGAATACTACCCAAAAATCATTTGCTCACACATTGTTATTTTATGAACTGACACTGATTGCAGAGAAACTGAATATCCAACTTTAGATTAAAACTGGTTGATATTATATCAAACATGCAATAATTGAAAAGGCTCTTTCTGTCAACTGTTTGTCTTTTTTTCATCACAGAAATATTTGTCTTAACTTGCAGTGGCTTCTATAATCAGATTTCCTTCTACAGAGAAGTGCCCATTTGCTTACTAAAAATCCAGCACCTGTTGTTCTAGATTCCCTGATAATATCACTAGGATTATTTTATACTTACTTTGAGCATACATTTATAGCATCTTTTGTTTTTACACAGATAAGACTTACTTTTTCCTTTTTTTTCATATCTTACAGAGAGCAAAGATTTTAATAATTTATATATTTTATATTATATTACAAGTTTGACACATTGGTTGTAATTGATATCTGTTATCTGTTCTTTATTGATTCATTGGGGAGTTGAGGATTAGATTTTTATTTTAGGCACTGTAATTGGAGAGAAAAATGTGGGGAACTTTCCAGAAAAACAGAGAATCTAATGTGAAGGTTGGAAAAGTTGAGTGAGTTAGGTTTGTCTTTCAACAACTTTTGAGAACCTAGCAGCATATTAATATGTTATAGGTCAGTTTCAGAATATGATACTTGCACCAATAACATTACCATTTGTTGGTAACTTTTAGAAATATGCTTTTGAAGGACTCATGCAGGACCTGAAACAGGAATTTTGGGATAGGGTCCAGCAAGCCGTGCACCATGATTTTGGTAAAGTTGAGAACCTTAATGCCACATTAATGGTATCTTCGTAAGTCTCTCAAGGATGATGCAGGATAGGACAATATTCGGCTCTGTTATTCATGGGGACTCTTATCAGTCATAGTTGACTCGATGGCACCTAACAAGATTAGTTTTATCTCTTCTAAAGTTTGTATAAAATTATATTAAGGCATTTTCAACAGATAGTAAGCTAGCTCTCCTAACCTTAAGACATGTCAAGAAGAAAAGCACAAATCCTGAAGACACATGGTTCAAATCCACCAGATGCTCCTCTGGAGAAGGAGGATGCCAGTCAGATCTGATTCGATGGTATACACACACACACACACACACAAAACCAAAAAGAAGAAGAAAGGCACAAGCTTTAGTTCTCTATTTGATTATTACAGATCTCTGGGATTACTTAGAAAAGAATTTCTTTTTTTTTTTTT